TCTTCCCCCCTCGCATATAAGCCCTTGCACTCAAAGGAGGAGGTACCCACTAGGCACCTGATCAGGTCGCTAGTGGGTACCTCCTCCTTTGAGTGCAAGGGCTTATATGCGAGGGGGGAAGACGACTCTCTTCCGATGTGGGATTGCCTTAGGAAAGGGTCCTATTGGCGAAGAGAGGTAAAGGCTACTGGGGGGTCGCCCGCGTGGGTTAACCCAGGTCAAGCCGAAATCCTGAGTGGAGGGTTCTACCCCTTACAAAAAGGCGCCTTTTTGTAAGGGGTAGAACCCTCCACTCAGGATTTCGGCTTGACCTGGGTTAACCCACGCGGGCGACCCCCCAGTAGCCTTTACCTCTCTTCGCCAATAGGACCCTTTCCTAAGGCAATCCCACATCGGAAGAGAGTCGTCTTCCCCCCTCGCATATAAGCCCTTGCACTCAAAGGAGGAGGTACCCACTAGGCACCTGATCAGGTCGCTAGTGGGTACCTCCTCCTTTGAGTGCAAGGGCTTATATGCGAGGGGGGAAGACGACTCTCTTCCGATGTGGGATTGCCTTAGGAAAGGGTCCTATTGGCGAAGAGAGGTAAAGGCTACTGGGGGGTCGCCCGCGTGGGTTAACCCAGGTCAAGCCGAAATCCTGAGTGGAGGGTTCTACCCCTTACAAAAAGGCGCCTTTTTGTAAGGGGTAGAACCCTCCACTCAGGATTTCGGCTTGACCTGGGTTAACCCACGCGGGCGACCCCCCAGTAGCCTTTACCTCTCTTCGCCAATAGGACCCTTTCCTAAGGCAATCCCACATCGGAAGAGAGTCGTCTTCCCCCCTCGCATATAAGCCCTTGCACTCAAAGGAGGAGGTACCCACTAGGCACCTGATCAGGTCGCTAGTGGGTACCTCCTCCTTTGAGTGCAAGGGCTTATATGCGAGGGGGGAAGACGACTCTCTTCCGATGTGGGATTGCCTTAGGAAAGGGTCCTATTGGCGAAGAGAGGTAAAGGCTACTGGGGGGTCGCCCGCGTGGGTTAACCCAGGTCAAGCCGAAATCCTGAGTGGAGGGTTCTACCCCTTACAAAAAGGCGACTTTTTGTAAGGGATGAAACCCTCCACTCAGGATTTCGGCTTGACCTCCGCGCGTTCGGGAGTAGCCTTTACCCCTCTTCCTGAGCCGGAGCCCTGGCCTAGCCTAATGTGGGGAGGGCGCACCGTATCCCACATCGGAAGAGAGTCGTCTTCCCCCCTCGCATATAAGCCCTTGCACTCAAAGGAGGAGGTACCCACTAGCGACCTGATCAGGTGCCTAGTGGGTACCTCCTCCTTTGAGTGCAAGGGCTTATATGCGAGGGGGGAAGACGACTCTCTTCCGATGTGGGATACGGTGCGCCCTCCCCACATTAGGCTAGGCCAGGGCTCCGGCTCAGGAAGAGGGGTAAAAGGCTACTCCCGAACGCGCGGAGGTCAAGCCGAAATCCTGAGTGGAGGGTTTCATCCCTTACAGTAAATATAAACGATTTAAGTTTAAATTTTGGTAATCTTTTGAGGTCAAATCATAAAAAATTTATCTTTCATAAGTACTTTAATTCTAACATGAATGATCTGTTTTTAATTGAGAAAAAGAGACTAACAAAGGTACGCATAAACTGGTTTAAACACTCTCATCATAAATTTTTTTTTTCTTTTTTAAGAAATTTGTATAGTACAACTTTTTTCCGTGTGTGTGTGAATCAATTGCCCGACAAAGCATTTGTGTTTCACTGATTCGTAAAGGACAAATACCATATATGTGTGACTGATTCGTAAAGGACAAATACCATATATGTGTGGTTGTAATCTCTTCCGTGAATGGTTCAATAGTATTGGGTATAGTACAGTGACGAGGTCTAGTACACTGATGAGGTCCACCAAATTTGTACGTACTCTTTTACCGAATACCGTACCCCCCAAAAAAAATATATATATACCTGAAAATAATTTACTAATTGATACCCAAAAAAAAAGAAAAAAAGAGTGCAAGAATGACAAGCACAAAATAAGATTCGAGACAAAATTAATGAAATAGTTAACCAATCTTTATATTGTCTAAAAAAACTTGAACAAAAAGGCACAAAATAATTTTTTCTTGATATATTTTAACTCAATCATATATTATATATATTGAAATACAACATTCTTTAAAATTTCTAAAATATTTTATAATTGATTAGTAAGGTAAATTTTTCATTAATTTCCTACTAATTCTTACAATCACATACTCCATAGTAAAATTATTCTTTATATAGTTGTAAGACTTGGTTGATATCATACTCAATCTTATTGCGATTACATATTTGAAATATCATAAAATACTTTTGGGTTATAACTTGTTGTCTTTTGCATCATCTAATAATGTTTTATTAGGTTATAGACTACAAACTAACCGAAAAAATGATAACTGTCGACTACATAATTATATTTGAAAAGTAGAAAACATTCTATTAGATAAAAAAGAATTACTGTCTTTTTTCAATAGATAACAACATTTACATCTAATTAACTCCATTCAAAAATAAAATATTTATTTTAGGGGTAATAGACAAGTAATTTATTTGAGAATTTCCATGAAAGGTGATCCAAAAGTGAGGAGACAAGTTCTCTCCTCTCCCGGGGGGGATCCCAAGGTGGAATTGCCCTTGAGTAGATACATTACCTACTTAGTTTACGCTATGTTTTTTTAATTTAAAAAAAAAAAAAAAGGGTAAAAAAGAGTATCCAGAAATCACCTTAATAGGTTTTCATTAGTTGGATCATGAGGCCCCTAACCGAGTTTATTATACTTTTCGGGAACGAATCTAGTTAAATTAGTATAACAGTCAACTATCGAATTTTAATATGAATTTCAAAACTCAAAAATCTAACTTCAAAATAAAAAATTCGACTGATACACCACTAGATTACCCTAGTCGGTGGTCCCAGCTTATTTTATTTAGGAATTTGGGTACACTTCTAAATGTGAGGCTCATGTAAAACCAAGTACTGTTTGGTTGTGTCTTTAATTGTACCACCCATGGTAATGGAAGTCACGTTAGTGCATTCTTTTTCTGTGGTCTTATTTTCTTGTCCCTAACTTTTTTTTCCATGGGTAATTTCTAGGAAATGAACGCATAGAAAGTTCAGGAAAAGACACTTCATGGGATTTCGTTTTAAAAATAAAAGCTGAAATCAGACCCTTCGGACAAAATGCTTGGAAAATACACTCGCAATTAAGTTCAATTTTCTCTTATCGTAGTTTCAAGGAGGAATTTCGTTGCGGAAGAAGATATGAAACAAAGTCTTTGGTAAAATACTTTGAAAGTACACTCGTAAGATAAGTTTACTTTTCATCACTTAACTCGAATATTCTATTTTCTCTCTTCTTCTTCTTCTTCTTCTTCTTCTTCTTTTTTGGGGGGAACAGAATCATTCCAGTCATATATTCTTTAATTTCACAATTAAAATACAAATCTCAAAAGCACTCTAATCAGTTGAATTTAGGTTNTATAAGTTTACTTTTCATCACTTAACTCGAATATTCTATTTTCTCTCTTCTTCTTCTTCTTCTTCTTTTTTGGGGGGAACAGAATCATTCCAATCATATATTCTTTAATTTCACAATTAAAATACAAATCTCAAAAGCACTCTAATCAGTTGAATTTAGGTTTCATACTCTAATCAGTTGAACCAATCCCATTGATTTTAGCTTTGATAATCTTGCCCAGTAGCACTTGTCCACCAATTAGAATAGAAAACAACACTCAGATTAATCTATAACTATCGGTCATAATAAATCATTAATTCAGATTCAATCCATATATTTTTTTTATTTTTTATTTTTTGAAAACTGCATTCCTTCTAAAAGTGCTTTGGTAGATTAACGGAAATTCAACCAACAACAAAAATAATCGTTTATCAGTATTGAACCAATAATTTTCGATTTCACTCGAGATAAATAAACCTATTATTTATCCATAGTGAATCTTTTCAAAATGAATGATTAGTAATCTCTCCCAATCAAAATTAAATAAAAAATTGTATTAAAGCCATTATATATACAACGAATATTAGTCAAGCCGTACCTAATGAATAGCGATTAGACCTTTGGCACTTTATTTTTGACTAATTGGCCCAACAAGAAACCACAGCCACAAACCAGACACAATGCCACTAAATTACAGGTTAAACGTACCGAGTTTCTAAGATTTAGACTGCATTGGATTTAGTCTTCAACTTTAAGCTAAGACTATGGCACTAAAAAAAATATGGTTCCAAACAAAATTACTTGGGGATAACATTACTAGATCCAAGTATACTTTCACGTTCAATTTAAATCTAAAACTCGTACCTAATGATGTGATATATGATATGCACGATGCACTATCATATAGGTGTCATGATTAGACTTGGTAATAATTTTGGTACAATATTAAAAAAAAAAAAACTTTTTATGCACTATAGTCTCACCTATAATTTGGTGGTAGATAGTTTTAGTCCTCACTCGATTTTCTGACATTTCTCTCTTCTTTCTACATTTTGGGAGGACAGAAAGATGTAAATGACTTGTTAATTTTTATTAAAAACTTTATCAATACCAAGTTGGGAGTATCTAAAGAGTATAAAAATCAATTTTCTGAAGAGTACAACAACCAATTTCTTGTCTGAGAGTAGTTTAATTCTTATGTGGAGATGGATATTGGTAATAAGATAATAGGAAAGTGGTGAGGTCAAGCAGCCCAGCATAGTGTGAAAGCCATGCAAGGTAGGTGGTTGTCTAAGTCAAAAGTTCGTATTCAAACTCAAGTCTGTAGTCTCACGGCAACTTCCCTATTAACTTCCACCCAAGTACCCTATAACTCCCCCAACCAAAAATAACGTGGTGCACAATATACCTGCTATAGCCCAACCCCCTCACCCCTCGGCTTATATATATGCCCCCCTCTAACTCACACTCACCTCAATCAAACCCAACCATCCACACCCATACTCTTTCTTTCTCTCTCTCTCTCTCTCTCTCTAGACAAGCCAAAGCTGCACAAAAACATTCATCAATGGACAGACTACCCAAATGTGATGCAAATTTTGTGCCTCTTACTCCTATTACTTTCTTGAAGAGAGCCTCTATGGTTTACTCCAACCGTACCTCGGTAATTTATGCTGGAGTCCGCTTCACATGGCAGCAAACTTACGACCGCTGCTGTCGTATCGCTTCCTCTCTCCGATCACTAAACATTGTCAAGAATGATGTGGTAAGTATTCGATCGCATTCATAAAATTGATATGCATTTCTACCTAGTGAACAATTTGGTATCAAACAAAAATTATCCTAGGTTGCATTGTCCCAATAATAATAATATATAAATGAGTAATGTTACATAAACTTAAAAAATAAATTTGATAATTACAATCATTGATTTCACTGTAGATCAACATTTATTCTAGTTTTTAAATTCATGTAACGTTGTTCTATATACATGCACGTGTTCCGCTCATTCGTGAAATGAAAATATGATCAAATTAAAACTGGTAAATTTACAAACACGGTATTAATTATACCTACTTATACTAATTATTAATGTGGACAAATTGCTTATGAGGTGTTTTTTGGATGATGCAGGTGTCAGTGTTGGCTCCAAACATTCCTGCAATGTATGAGATGCATTTTGCAGTGCCTATGGCAGGGGCTGTGCTTAACACCATCAACTCCCGTCTAGATGCTAAAAACATAGCCACCATTCTCAGGCACTCAGAAGCCAAGGTCTTCTTCATCGATTACGAATACGTGCCATTAGCCCGCGAGGCCCTCAGGTTGGTCATGGCGGACTTGCAGGGGTCAGGTGCTCCCGAATCAATGATGCCCTTAGTCATTGTAATCGACGACGTGGACTCGCCCACCGGTGTCCGTCTAGGCGAGTTGGAGTACGAGCAACTAGTCCACAACGGCAATCCAGGGTGCATCCTGGAGGAGGTCACCGATGAGTGGGACCCAATTGCATTGAATTACACTTCTGGGACTACTTCAGCACCAAAGGGAGTTGTGTACAGCCATAGAGGTGCCTATTTGAGCACTCTAAGCCTAATTTCTGGTTGGGAAATGGGGACTGAGCCTGTGTACCTATGGTCACTCCCCATGTTCCATTGTAATGGTTGGACTTTCACATGGGGCATTGCTGCTCGAGGTGGAACCAACGTGTGCATACGCAACACTACAGCACTAGAAATGTACACCAGCATAGCTAAACACGACGTGACACATTTGTGTTGTGCTCCTATAGTCTTCAACATCCTCCTCGAGGCCAAGCCACACGAGCGCCGTGAAATCAAAAAACCTGTACAAATACTCACTGGAGGGGCACCACCGCCGGCACCACTGCTTGAAAAGATCGAGAAGCTCGGATTTCACATCGTGCACGCCTACGGCCTCACCGAGGCCACCGGTCCTGCACTCGTTTGCGAGTGGCAGGCCAAGTGGAACCAGCTTCCCCAGCGCGACCAGGCCAAACTCAAGGCCAGGCAAGGGATCAGCATATTAACTCTGGCTGATGTTGATGTCAAGAAGTTGGAAACAATGCAGAGTGTGGCCCGAGATGGTAAAGAAATGGGTGAAATTATGCTGCGAGGTAGTAGCATCATGAAAGGGTACTTCAAGGACAAAAAGGCCACAGCGGAGGCATTTCATAACGGATGGTTCCTCACCGGCGACGTCGGTGTTATACATCCAGATGGGTATGTAGAAATCAAGGACAGGTCTAAAGATGTCATCATCTCCGGTGGGGAAAACATCAGCAGTGTAGAGGTCGAATCTGTTTTATATAGCCACCCGAGTGTGCTCGAGGCCTCGGTGGTGGCAATGCCTCATCCACGGTGGGGGGAGAGTCCTTGCGCCTTTGTTGTGAAAAACAAATCAATGGGTGACAACTGCGGCGAGTCCGATATCATTGCGCATTGCCGGAAAAACCTTCCGGGCTTCATGGTGCCGAAGAGGGTTCAGTTCTTGGATGAGTTGCCAAAGACTTCAACTGGTAAAATTCAGAAATTTCAGTTGAGAGCTTTGGCCAAGACTTTTGTCATCTCAGAAAATCAAGCCACCAAGAAATCCAACCAAACCAACAGGGAAAATCAAAAACCTCGGTACAATAATGATCAACCACATGAGCAGATTCTTGCTTTGTCTCGTCTTTGAAATTTAGATTCTTATGTGACACTTTCATTACTTATAATAAAGACATGTATATGTATATATATAGAGAGAGAGAGAAAGAGATAGAATGTATTAAAATGATGGATTTTTTTATCCATCTAGCATTATTCTTAAGTGTTTTCTGTTACCAAGAGCTTGCTTTCAATCATGATCAATGATAATTTATGATTTGCTTTTAATCATGATCAATGATAATTTATGATTTATTTTTCAGCTGAGTAATGTTACATGAATTTAAAAACTAGACAACGGATGTGATCAGAAAAATGATGTTTTATGTAAGGATGATTGGGTTTGAAAGTAACTGCCGGAAGTCGAATATTTCTTCAAACGGAAATCATCCTGACTACGCAACAATAATTGGAGTCATGGTGAGATGTGAGCGCCACACGTAATCATCTATAAACCATGCGGATGGGTGAAACCCAGACCTTATACGGCCAAGGTGCCAATGTTAAATTACTCAATATTAGTTGTTAGGTCGCCTCTATTTTGGTTTACTTTTTTTATTGATAATTGTACATAGGGTATACTTTTGTATATCTATCCCTTCTATTAGTATAATTATCTTTCTTTTTTTTTCTTTTTTTTTTTGGGTGGGTGGGGGGATCAGTTGATTTGTTTCAAATGAAATGGACTGCTCTTAGCCTGCAACTCCAAAGAAAATATGGAACATCATTTAGGAGGAAGAGATCATGACCCTGGTCTAATTCTTTACTGTAACTCAAAAATAACAATGGGTGCATTTCTAGGGTGGGGTTATTCCCATCTCTTATATTTCATTTCTCACTTCATTTAATTCTTTTATTTCAAATTATTAAATTCATCTCATCTATACTCATCCCATCACTAAACTCATTCCATCTACATGATTAAATAGGGTGGAAAAAGAAATTTAAGGGATGGTAATAGGCCCACCCGATATTTTATCTCCAATATATTCTTGACAGATCACTTTTCATGTATTCAAATGGGATTGATTAGTCATTATACGTAAGTGAATTCTTTATGCATTAATGGTGGGTAATCTGCCGAGAACATAATTAGAGACAAAAAAAAAAGTATCCAAGGGAATCTTGATCCTCAAAATGGGCAAATTCTTCATAGAACCGTGAACTTTTAAGCTTTTACATTTTTTTGCTCCAAGCTTGAAGACAGAGAATACGGAAAATAGTTACTCAAGTCTGGTGATTGTGGCTGAAACACGTGCATGGCCTAGTTTGGTTTGTACTGCGTGTTTGTGTGTGTGTGGCCGAAATAATAATAGAAATGTAAAGTCAGTCTGAAACCAAAACTATGATTAGTCATTATATTAAGCAATATAAAATCTATTAACCAGCGTCTTGGTATGCCTGACGAGTGATAACTCTATACATGATTTGCCAACTAGATAAAAAATCAACATGGAATTAAAGGAGTTGGGGATTAGTATTAATAGATTCAAGTGATAATTAAATAGGTAAACTCATTAAAACCGTCAAATAAATGGGTTGATATACACGAACTCGCTAAACAACTTACATATAACACAAACTTGATTATGTACGAATAAGTTTAAGTAAATTTTGATATGAAATAATAAGATCTATTAACACCCCTTATTACAGGTGCAATTTATTCAGTAAAACTAGTCATCATCTTAAGCACGCTATTCATATCACTGGTTGCGATCTTTCAAAATCCATTTTCCTATTGTGGATAAGCAAAGTTTCTCATCCCTCACGTAAGAAATAGTCGGAGGACAATGCAATGAAAGACGACAATAATGGCACTTTTATAATGTTATTGTCAGAGAAAAGTATATGGGCATTAATCACGTGGAGAAGGGCCCATTTGGTCCAAGGTAATTGGAGTCTTCAGAAATCACTATCTAATTTTCTTGCAGGCCTTGTCTTTCTCCATCTTGCAAAAAAGGAGAATAATAATTCACTGCGGAGGCAATTTTGACTGGAGAGACATTGCAACATGGGATTAAGGCAAAGTTGAAACTGAAATGTTGCATCCTATAAAAGAATGGATCATGGAAAGTTTCTAATTTGAAGAGAAAATCTTTTCATTTCAAATTTTTTTTTTACTACAAAGTGTCTAACATTGTGTCTACTGATATCTCAAACTCAACAGCTGCTAACTACCGTAATTTGAACTGGATTAGAAAACATCCCTTTAGG